CCTACATAATAATCAGCAGGTCTGTAGAATCCTCTGTAAACTCTCCTTGTCAAGGCCACTCACAGCTGGAAGCAAAGTCACTTAAACAAGCCGAGGTCTTTGAAGTCTTCTGAATTTTATGGCTTGTATTTCCAAGAAGGGACTTTGGCTCAGCCAAGATTTGTATGCACTCATCCACTAATCTCTAGTAATTGACTGGTTTTCACAAAGGGAATAGAAACCAACTCCTAGTTCATGAATGTGCACACTGTTTCTCTTTGCTTCAGATCATTAACCAGCCCTGATAAGCAGAGAAGTGCCTCCTACTGTAGAAATCCTCCCTGTCCAACAGGTGTTGGGTGGTGGTAGGAAAAAGGTCCAAGGCGATCCCAGTGGCAGAATCTCAGGACAGCCATCCCTGTGGTTCAGCTGGCCAGTGATTTGCAATACTGATCAAAACTTTTACAAAAAATGGAGAAGAACAAGTGGCTTTTCCTGAAGGTTGTTGTGGCAACCAGCTCACTTTGAACACCATCCGTTTTAGAGATTTTTAAAAATCAGCTTTTCACAGACAAAACTAAGTGCATCTGGAAGCAGGTAGAAGAGGCTCACCTATTCTCAAAAATGGAACAATGGATGTGCTCAAGAATAACTCACACTTACCAACTCTGAATAAATCCACCCAAATCCTCATATAACCTAAACACCGAAACACAAACAAAACAAAAAAACAATAACCCAGACAGAGTGTTTGCTACCCCAAGTGCAAACTCTAGACTGCATCCTGATCTTGACCTCACGCAGAGGGTGGCCCTGTGAATAGGGACAGGGGGCCTGGACTCTTAACTGCGGCCCTGCTCTTAATTCACTGTGTTCATCTTACAACACTCACATGCCATGCCTGGCCTTCATTCTTCCTCTTCGTAAAGTGAGGAGAGTTATTTAAAACAAAAGAAATCTGGGAACTTCGAGTTGGATATGGGCTGTGAGGGTCTCGCAACCAGTTGATTGAAGCCTTGTTGCTATCTACCTTCCACCCAGTGGATAAATGCCATATGGTGGTAGTTTGTAATAACAGGCTCCCAGTGGGTTAAATGTGGAAGGGGTGCAATATTCTCATTCTCCAAAAAGGTACTTGTCTTCATGTAAAATAGAGGGGACAGAGGAAGAATGCCTGTCTCATATACTGCTACATTTTTAGTATCCCACACAATGTCTGGCTTGTCCCAAAGTATCTGTTGAATAAAGGAATGAATGCACGCAGATCTATCAGCACAACAGATAGTATCTCTGAAAACCTGAATTCTGCAGAGTACCTGTATGTGAATGCCAAGGGTACTGACCTGTGAGGCCCCTGGAGAAAAGATGTCTACACAAAATGAGAGATTGTGGGCTTCCCTGTTGACAGGGCCGTATCTTGTCCTCGGATGTTGGCACATTGCTCAGCCTTAGCTAAATGGTTGATGAATGAATAAACAAGGGAAGAAAAATAGAAAAGGAATATGTGAAGAAACTAACGAGACCAGGGTGAGGGGCTGAGGGGGAAAGATTGACTTTAGAAAACAGGCTGGCCCACACTGGGCCAACTCAGGCTACCCTGGAAGAGGTGAGAACTCCCGCTGTCCCAGGGAGGAACAGAAGACTGGAATTTTCAGATGGGAATGAGAAGACAAAATGAGCCATATCCACTCAAAATATGTGTTAATAACAAGACTATTGGTTTTGACTATTTGAAAATCACCCATAAATTATTTAAGCCACAGAGCAATTACTACTAGCACCCATTTTCAAATAAAGAAACTAAAAAATAATATTCTAAGATTGGTAGTTGGTGTCACGGCCCAACCCCAGATCTGGAAGGAGGGGTTCTCCATCCCATGGACACATCCATCCCGATGATCTTCAAGTTGGTAAAGCCCTCACACTGAGCTTTTTGGTTGGGATGCTCCAATAAGAAGAAAAAAGTGACAAAGTTTGGTTTGCTTTAGAATATTTGGCATCTTTTTACCACAAACTATGAGAGAAAAATTTTGACTCAATGAAAGAGGTGCTAAAAGATTCAATGTCACTAAGTTGTCAGTTACTGGCATGTAAGACTGAGAGAAAGGCCAGAGAGTTGTGCTCTTAGAATTCTGCCCTTATGGGAAACGTATGGGTCCTGTAAATCCGAAGTAATCAATGGGAAAGATGAACTAAGAAACATGAGTTCCAGGCTAGAATCTGCCCCTTGCTAGCGGTGTGACCTCCTTCAGGTCCTTTTTCTTATTCTGGTCCCTTTTCTTATTCTGGTCCCTTCGCATGGATTCTCAAGACTTAACATGATGGAGGATGTGTTTGCTATGATTTGGAAAGGGAGAAAGTGATATGCAAGGACCTGATGGCAGCCCTGAAAGCTTTCTAAGTCACTCTCAAATCGAGCTTTTCCAGGAATCAGGAGATAGAGAAAGGGGAAGATGGTACCAGCAACAAGCCGATGCTTGGTGCAGGGCTCTGAAGTGTGCAGGAGCTGAGAAGCCAAGGTGGTGGGACACTGCCTATCAGGCAACAACCTACTGTGGCCATGTGCCTATACAGTGACCACTTGTGAGAGAAAATCTACAAGGGACAGTGGTCCCAACCTGGCCGTGCACAAGCAGGTGGAGCTACTGGGGGTATAACAAAGAATTGCCCCAACCCATCTCCCACACGGGAATGACCCAGCTCCATTAAGAGCCTGGGAGAGGGTAAGGGTGGGAGGAGGGAGCATCAGAAGGCTGGATGGATTGGGATTTCCAGAGAGGAGACTTTACAGAGGATGCCTGATCTATAGGGAACACAATTCAACGTTCTGAATCAGGGCTAATTTGCCAAATGAGGTAGTTCCATCCTGATCTCTCCAGGCAGTGTCAGTCTGGGAAGACAGGAGCCAAGTCTTCTTCCCAAGACCCTTAATGATGAAACGTGACAGAGAAGAGCCAGGATGTGGGCTCCCAGAATGCAATGGGAAAAACAAAGAGGGCAGGCTGCAAAGGATGCTGAATGAGGGCCGTTCAGCTGAATGGTGCCTTCTATACAAATTTTGATCCTGACACTTGGCTCGGAGAAAGAGACCTCCCTCCCCTGACCTTCCAAAGCCCTGGAGACAAAGAGACAGCTGGAGGAAGGATCTTGGGGCTTCCAGGGGCACAAATGTGTGACACAGCTGGCTCTGGGTGGTAAGGTGACCCCTGCAGTCCTCAGCAGGGACCACAAAGTTCCAGCCTCAGTTCGTTCTCAGAGTGGCAAGCACAGCATGGGAGTTGGGGGACTTCGGCCTCAGAGACAAGGGCAGGGCTGTGGATCTGTCCTCCTGGCCTGGGAACACTGGGGAGCTCCCAGCAGGGCCTTCCGGGCTGCCCTTCTGGAAAAACCAGCTTCTTGCGGAATCACCGCACCCTCCGCTCTCCTCAGCTGACCAGGAGAGTGGGTGGGAGGGCAGCTCAGCAGGAGGACCTATGGCAGGAAGCACCACCTCGTCTCTGTGGGACCCCCCAGCCTCTCTCCTTGGCAGGACCCCCGGGGCCACACATGCCCTTCTAGATCTCCATGTCCACAGGGCGGATGTTGCCCGTCTTGTGCTCTCTAACCCACAGCTCCCTGTCTTTGGCTGGGTCCACTTTTTGAAGCAGTTGGTCCACAGGCTCGACTGTCTGCAAGATACAAAGAAGAGGGGACACTGTCAGAGGTGGCAGCTGAACCATGCTGCTCAGGCCTTTGTGCCTGTGTCAGAGGAGCTTCATATGGGGCTTCAGATGTGCAGAGGGCTGTGAGAACAGGGAGCCTGGACCTCTCTTCCCCACCCTCCTTCTCACTGGGTGCGCTTTTCCCTCTAGACCTCAGGGCTGGATGAAAGGGCAGGGTGGCCTCAATGTCTCCAGGTCCGTGATCAGTTCTTCCATTTGTTCCTGCATTTACCACCATAGAACAGGAAAAATGGAATTTGGCCTTAGATATTCTGGATATTTCCAGATTTTTTGGGGGGGGCGGGGAGGGGTAAGAAAGTCACTGGGGGAGGCAAGAACATTTTCAGCTATTTAAACTATCGTGAGCTAATTTCTCTGTGGTATAATAGCTCATGCATGTTGTACTTATTTCATGCATTTCAGATGGGTTCACATGGGCATCCAGGACAATCTGCAAGTGCATCCCAAGAGGTTGCCCGTAGGCCCAAGCAGCTGCCCTTGCCCATCTTCAGGACAGATTAATTTTAGTGACCACTTAGTCTGCCATGGCATAGTGGCAGGTGGCCCTCTCCCTGGCCTGGGGTCCCCCTGGGGTTCTGCTGGCCTTGGCCTAGGAGCAGGGAACTCACACTTTGGTTGAACATGTCTGTCTCATGCCGCAGTTGTGTGTATTGGCACAGATGTTGCCGGATCATCTCTACCCTCTCCACCTCTAGTCGCTCCAGCTCCTGCACAGGAGGAAAGATCAGAGACCTCTGAGCATGTCCCCTCAACCTTCTCGCCACAGGTCCCCAACCACCCTATACACACAATGCCAGCTTAGACCCAATCCCATCTGACCGTGTGGGGTCTGATGAAGAACTCACCCCATATCTAGGGGTGAATGTAAAGATGAAGATAATATAGCAGCCACTGTTTCCTGAATCCTGCCTTGCCAGGCATGGTGGGAGCTAAGGGCTTTACATGCATTACTTAATTTTAAGAGATAGTTTCTGTTCTTATCTGCATTTTCCAAACAGAGGAATAAACACCCAGAGAGGTAATGTTATTTGTTCAAAGCAACATGAAATTATGGGAGGAGTGGATGTGAACCAGGATCTACTGTGGTCTTAATCACGATTCTGTACCAGCGCAGCCCCAGCCCCAGTTCCCCAACGGGGTGGAAAAATGGGACATATGAGGGAGTGCCTGTGCCCCAAACTCCTGGGGCCTTGCTTCTGGGCCTCTGCTGAACAGCCTCTCTCCTCTGTCCACCCCTAGTGCTGACAGGCCAGAGACCAGGCCAGGGGAGGCAGCGGGGCTGGGAGTGGGTGGCCACTGTCAAAGGAAAGAGAGGAAAGGGTTTGTCCTTTGGTTTCTAGGTGATTCTGCATCTTTAGAATTTAGAGGATCAGGCTATTATTCTGTGAACAACTAGGTCACTGCTGAGGGGATTAACTGGGGAAAGGGATAAAGCAGGAGGTTTAATTAGGAGATTAACCAGGAGGAAACCAGGTCACTGTCCTGTGCTGGATGGATGGGGGTGGCTTCGGACAGTGGGATGATGCGATAAGCACCTGGCATGATGCCTCCTTTCTCATCTGGCCTAAAAGCCCAAGTGTCAACGTCACTTTACTGCAACAGGAGCTGACCAAGGGGGAGATGCTCCCTTGTGCCCCTTGGTCATGCCACCTCCCCAACCCCCATACTCCTCCTACACAGCTTCCCAATCTCACCATTTACGCGCCTGGGCAGGATCGCCTATCCAGGGCCTGCAGCTCTTCTGGGGGTGGGAGGGTCATGCTTCCTACAACTTGGCTATGTGTCCTAAAGGGGCCACTGTCCATTTGGTTGGGGGCACCCTCAGTTGAACCTGACACCTCAAGGAACAGCCGAGAAGAATATAGCAAGGTCCAACCCTCACCCATGTTCACACAGCTAGGAAGAACCAGGGCAAGAACTTGAATCGACATAGACTGGACCAGAGTCAAGGTCTTAAGCCCAACACTAGAGCAGATCGAATGACAATCTCCACAGTCACCTTCGCTCTACCACCTGTTCACCCGCCTGCATCCCCCGGGGCGTCCTGATAGTCAGTCCCTGGACTGACCTGCTTACACATATCTGGGCACTCACCAATGTGGTAGTCACCATTTCTTCAAACCACTTGGACTGGGCCTGGTTGTAAAGGTCCACACAGCGCATGAGGTCATCTCCTGGAATAGGCCAAAACCACTATCACGCTCTGTCCGGTCCTTGCTATAGCTTCTCTTTCCTACCTGTAGCCCAAATCGATGCCCTCTCCTCTCCTTGGGGTCTTGGGGGCCACTGGAAAGTTGGAGGAGGGGAAAGCATAACAAAAAGAGGGGGCAACCCAGCACAAGAGACCAGCTTCAGAGTGTCCATCTGAACTTGACCCCAGACACCAATAATTGAGGATGGGGGTTTCTCAGTGTGTGTATGTCATGGGGAGGAGTTACTCCTAGGACCCGTGACCCTATTACAAGTCCAAGACATGCTTCTTCTCTAAAGATGGCAGTTTCATTTCACATTGGAGAGTACTTCTTGGTTAAAACATGCAACTTGGTACTAGTTGAGAGTTAAAGAAGAAACATTTGCAAATTTTGCGAATTATGTTTGTGTGTGTGTGCATGTTTGTACATGTAAAATAATGTACTTGATGGTTTATGGCTCATCTATGTGCAGGAATGGTATGAAAACATGCACTAGAGCATTACACACCAATTTCAGGATAGCGTTTATATTGGGAAACAGAAAGGATGGGTGGGAGAAAATGAGCTCTCTCTATAGTGCTTTATTTCATAAGAGAGAGATCTGAAACAAACATAACTATTCAATTTTGATGGCTAGTATATTGTGTTTTGCAATCATATGTACGTTTGAAACATTTTGTAATTAGAAAAAAAAGAAACTACAAAGTAATTGCAAACATTAGTAAGGCACCAGTACCCCAGAACCTTGCTACACAAAACACATTTCCTAGCCGAGCAGCATCGGTATACTATGGGAGCTTGCTAGATATGCTGATCTCCAGATATCCCTGATACCCAGTGAATCACAAACTGCATTTTCACAAGATCCTCAGGTGACCAATATGCTCATCACAGTTAGAAAAACACCACTCGAGTGCACAGCTTGGTTTAAACGTAGTTTACATCAGCTTTTTGGCACCAGGGACCTGTGCTCCTATGAGAATCTAATGCCTGATGATCTGAGGTGGAGCTGAGGTGGTGATGCTAGTGCTGGGGAGCAGCTGCAAATGCAGATGAAGCTTCACTCACTTGCCAGCTGTTCACCTCCTACTGTGTGGCCCAGTTCCTAACGGGCCACAGACTGGTACTAGAGGTTAGGGACCTGTGGTTTAGATCATCACCGGATTCCAGAGAAATGAAGGCATCACGGCCTTTGCTCATGATGGGAAAAACTCAGGAGCCAACCAAAGCTAACTGATTTACTGTTTAAATCCAGTAATTGGAGTTGATTCCAAGTTATTCCTATAACAACATCACCTTGTGTGCATTCTGACATGAAAGTGAAAGAAGATGGAGAGTTAGAGCCACATGACCCAAGGCCTAGTCAGTAGCTCCCTTCCTCCTGAACCACACCACCAGCTGGAAGATAACCCTTGAGTAAAAGAACTCAAATCAAGGGCCTTGTTCATTTTGCTCTCGGTCCAAGGCCAAGGACTGGGCTCTTGATCCCAAGAAGGACTGAAACTGGAGGGAAGAACTTGAGTATGTCACTGCAAACGCATGCCCACCAAGAGTCCGTGCCTAACCAAGGATGGAGTTAGCATGTTGCCCTATAAAGGAGCAATATGAAATTCCCAAAGCCCTATTTGTCGATCCTGATTTTGAGAACATGCATTGGTAACTTCTGCAACATCAGGAAATGGGGTAGGTGAAGAAGGGTGTGTCTTCTTTCTATGCAGCCTAAGGGTTTGAAATCAAACCCTTCTGAACAGTATGAGTTAAGGACATAGGTTCTGGAACCAGAATATCTGGACTGTCAGACCAGCTCTACTGTTTATTAGCCGTGCACTCTTAAACAAGTCAATTAACCTGTCTGCACTTCAGATTCCTCAACTGTAAAATGAAGATAATAATGGTACCTTCGGAGTCATGATGAAGATTAAATACATCAATATATGTAAAGTGCTTGGAATGGACACTGACACAGAGTCAGCAAACTGTGTAACACGAGCTAGAGTGATGACGATGATGAGACAAAATGAAGTCAAGCCCCCTGAGAATCCAGCTGCCCTCCCTTCTAGTAGCCCTGGAAAAGATGAGAGAGGAGAAGGGAAGGGAGCAGGAGGAAAGAAAAGACAGCATATTCTGGGTAACAGGCTGTCTAGCAAAATGGTGACAAGTAAATCTTTGGAATAAGAGAAGATGGAATTCTTCAATATGCTCCGTAAACTTAGGTCTTGGGAAAGTTTCTTATCCTGTTTGTCATTAGTTTCCTCACTTGTAAAAGGGTAAAAAAAATACTTCCCTACAGGAGGACCATGAAGATAAAGAGAAAGAATGTTCTAAGGCACATAGCCTGGTGCCTGGCACACAGAAAGGTGCTTTTTATAGTTGGGTCTAAGGATGAGTCACTTTCATCACAAATAATTTCAGACTATAGAGATAAGAGACCATGTTACCTGGTGACTACAATAAAATGAAACAATAGCAAGACTAGAGAACAACAGTAACAAAGCCTGAACTCACGAAAAATTGAAGACTTTATTTTAAATTTGGCTCAAAGATGAAATCAAATCACAAATAACCAAATATCTAGAATATGAGAATGAAAACCATGCAAACCAGAACTTGTGGAATATGGTTAAGACAGTGGTATGAGGAAAAGTAAGTGTCTGGTAGCCTAAATATTTAATTTTTTAACCTTAGGCTAAGAAAAAAAAGTAAAGGAAAAAAGTGTTTAAAAAAATTTTTGAAAGAGGAACTTAAACTCATTAAGGGAAAAAAAGCACTATACAAAAAAAATAACAAGAAACAAGCTGAAAAAAAACAAAACAAAAACCAACCCACCAAAAAAACAAAAGAAATAAAAAAGACCATATTAAAGATAAACAAGAACCTAGGAAAAATATCTGCAACTCAAATGACAGAAGGACAATTTTCATAACATTTAAATAATCCCCACAAATCAATCAGTAAGAACAAGAACAGCTACTCGACTAGAAAATAGGGACAGGATATGTGCTACTCAGTTCACAGAAAAAAGTCACAGAAGACTTGTCAGCCTCTTTTTGAAATGCTCAATTCCACTCAAAAAGAAATGTAAATTAATTTAACAAGATATTTTTCATCAGAGAACTATAATGTCACAATTTGATAGCACACACGGCATTAACGAGAATTTAGGGAACAGGCATTCATTAATGCTATTGGTGGGACATGATACTATTCAGCCATTAAAAAAGTCTGATGTACATGAATGGATGAGGAACTAAAAGAATAGGTAATGGAATAGAGCTATCTCTAAGATATAATGATTAAATATAAGTTCAGAACATAGGGTATAATATGACCTAATGTGTATAAATTTAAATGTAAATATTAAAAAATTGAAAAAATTAAAAAACTAGTAAGTGTTGATGGAGATTATATCTGGAAAATTAAGATTTTTATATTCTTATGTGCTAATTAAAATATTTTCCCAAGCAAATACATTGTTTTACAAGATAATTTTATTTAATAATTTAATAAATTAAATAAATTTGAATAGCCTCTCTTCGTCCTGTGTTTCCCTTACCACTCCCAATAAGTATATTATGCCTTCTCTTTCTGGATCCACTAATTTATCACCATGCAGTTATAAGAGCTTTATATCAAAAGTGCTATGTTTATATTATTATTATTATTATTATTATTATTATTATTATTGACTTGTTTTATACCATCTTATTTCAAAACATCCTTATGGTGGCTGCTTCGTTCTATAATGAATTGATTGTATCAGGTTCACCAGAAGTTGAGGTGAAGGGACTTACAGACCATCTGATCCAAAACCTAATCCTACAGCACATGTTTCAATTCCCGAAAGCAATAAGCACTGTCCTTGCATGCAGTGAAAGTTGGTTTTATTTTTTAGAAATATTTGGTAAGGTTTTTTTTACTGGTTCCAACTGGCTTTTCTCCCCATTCCTTGATCATTAGCTAATTTTTACCACTAGGTGGAAGCAGAAACCACCTCACTGTAGGCATCTTTTGGGAGGATCTGAAATGTGATTATTTCATTAAACAAAATGTCAGCCCATGGCCATAGGTGCACTTCTGGGGTATCACTCCCTGGATAGGTAGGGTTTGTACTTCTCCACGGGGCTACACACAGTGATCGACCCCTGAATTCTGAGTGCATGGAGGAGGTACCACCTCCTGGTCAGAAAGCCAGGGCCTGGGCAGGAAGAGCCCACACTGGGAGAGTGGGAGGAGCCTAGTCCTTCCTGGAGACAGCCTGGCCTGCTCCCCATTCCACAGCCTCACCCTCCAGCCTCACCTGGTAGGAGGCACCCAATCCCCCAGCCTTTTCCTTGCTGCTTCCTTGACCAAGTAAGGGCAGGTGGGCAATGGCCCCGCACTCACCAGCCTGCGTGGACTTCCTCCGCGCCTTCTTGATGTCTTCCTCCATCTTGTTGCTCAGCTTGATCTCCAGCTGCTGGGTCTTCATCTCCAGGTCTCTCTGCCGCTCAGTGAGGGCTTTCCGGGCCTGGGTGCCAAGGAAATGGAGAAGCTGTTCACAGAGCTCAGAGCCTGGAGCACCCCACGGGTCACGTGGCCTGGCCTCCCCATTTCCAGGTAAGAGTCATTTCTTTTCCCTGTTTTTGAGTATGATGTCACTGTGGCTCCAAGAGGCTAAGCGGCTAGATTAGCATAGCTCAGCCAGTCAGTCACCATGCAGAGGCTGCAACACATCTCATTCCCATCTCAATTGCCATCTGACATGGCCTATGGCAAGCCTCTCAGACCCCATTTTCGCTGGGGCATGTGCACGTACTGGGGGGTCAGGCAGTCTTAAAATCACATTCCTTCTGGACCACAAGGCCATCTCCATCACGTCCCAGCAGTGCTAGGCAGATGGCAGCACCAGCCATCCCGTTCTGGGGCACGACAGGCCCTTTGGTGGCAGTTTGGTGTGGCAACTGGCAAGTTCCCTTAGCGGTACGTGCCCCCTTCTCCTGTACCCTCCCTAAGTACTGGAGTCAGTCCCTGGGGAGAGTTCTCTTCCCTCCACAGCTTGCCTTCGGCAGCTCCCACCAAGCTCAGACCTCCCAGGCCTCCGGCAGGGGAGGAATTCAGTCAGGAGGGAACGTGTCAAGAAAGTCCCAAAGGGGCCTTGTGTGGACAGGCAGCACATCCAGGTTCCATGGCCCACAAAAACACGGGTGTACCCTGTGTCACAGGCCTGATGGAGCCCACTACATCTCCCACTGCAGGTGCAGCCTCTCCAGTTCCCACTGGTCCTCTGAGCAGTGATCCAAGCACATGGGGAAGCAACTCCTACCTTCCTTTTGGCTGAGGTAGGTTCCTCAGGTATGGGCTGGAGCCCACCTACTCAGCCATCTAGCCTTGGCACACGAGGCCCTGCTGGTTCACACCCCACCCTCTTTCAGCAGGTCCCGATCTCCCACCCGCCCAGCATCCTGGGCCCCTCACCTTCTCCACTGAGGCATAGCGGCTGGCGAGCTGCTTGCGGAGGTCAGCGATGTGGTGGTCACACTTTTTCATGTCTTTCTTGAAGTTTTCGCGGAAGTTCATGAGGGGCTTTTCTACCTCGCTGTGAAGCTGTCAAGGAGAGTTGTGGGGACACACTGAGGATCCCAGGGCATCAGCTGCAAGCAAGTGGAGGAGGGAGGGCGCACTCTCCCACCCCTCCAGGTGAGGATGGGGGCTGGGAAAGCAGCCTGGCCCTTCCAATAGGAAGGGTAAAAATAAGTGGCTGCTTATCAGGTCGCGGTTTAGGAAATCGCCTTAGCTGGCCAGGCCCCAGCATTGACACCGACAGTTGGACAGGTTAGAGTTTGGAGGTTTCCAAGTCCCTTGTCAGCTACTTCCTTCCGCCTCTAAGCTCCCACAGCTTCTTGCGGAGCTCTGCTTGGGTGTCCACCTCCCTTACTTTTCCAATGGGAGCTTTCTGGGGGAAGAAACCAAGCCACCATCTCTGTCCCTAAGCCCTTAGCACAGCGAGTGTCACCTAGATGCCATTTAATTAGGTGATCTCAGGTTGGTTCTATTTATTGAATATCTGCTATGTGTTGGGTGTGGAGACTACAAAGGTGACCTGGATGTGGTCCAAAGCTCGAGGAATCTATAGTGGAAACTCACAGGGCCCTCCTGTGAGCTGTGCGAGGGAGGGTGTTCTCACCTCACTGGTCTGCATAGCAACTGGCCCACTTCCCATCTCACCACAGGGAACTGGCCTCATTATACGAGCGCCAGAGAGAGGTTTTTGCTCTAAGAGGAGCTGGGTGACTTTGTGTTTCTAAGCTTTTTTCCTTTTCTTTTATTCTTTCTCTCTTTCCCACTCTGCTCCCTTTTAGAGAACTTTTACTTAACACTATTTTTTTTTTTCTTTTTGGTGTGAACATGAGATGTATTTGATAAGAAAACAGATCAATGTGAATCTGCTGCCGTCAGAGCCCAGGTGGGCAGCCTATAGCCCCACTGACTCAGGCTCCCAGAGCCCTACCACCCCAACTCAACTCCTAGAGCCCCACCCTACTCAGCGTCCTATGCCCTCCTGACAGGCCTCCAGGACCTCACCAACATGGCCTTCCAGGGTCCCTTGGCCTCTATCTGTCCCAGAAGTGCCTCTGGGAAGCACAGTGAACTTCCCTGGACAGATGACCCTTCCCACCTAGGATCCTGTGATTTCTCTCCTCTTCCTCCTTACCAGGCTCTTGTCCTATCATCTTTTTCTCTGGATACTTCAAGGACTTAGGTGTTCCCAGTTCTACATAACCAATTACACATGATTGTGAGTTTTAAGAGGGCAGGAGTCATGCTGGCATGGCTACTACTGTGTCTGCAGCATCTGGCTGCAACTGGTGCAGAGTGAGTGCCCTTTCACTACCTAGGGGAATGACGAATCTTCAGAGCCCAGCACCCTGGGTGACAAAATAAGACATTTGCTGTTGAATAAACTTCGAAGGTTTAAAAGGGAGCAGGGCCATCCAAATGCCCCTCTCCTTATATTATAAATATCTGCTATCCTTTTTTTGAGCCTCTGCAGTTTCCTTGTATAGGAAATCACTGCCACCTGGTGGCAGTTTGTAAGATGCTACAAACTTGAGAGCTACAGAGGGCCTGTAAGCCCCTGTACCCTGTCCCACACAGGTGTTTGCTGAGGAGGAGACACTGCATAACTCAGCTACCCTGAGAACCTGCTCCTAACCTGGGGGATCTATGAGGGAACTTGCTCGGCCTGCTGACTCAGTAACTCTGAGGTTTATGAGGACCTGAAAAATGAGTTGATTTCTAGACTTCAACGTGCCCAAGAGTGACCTAGAGGGGCTTTTCAACATTCAGGATTCCGAGGCCCCAGCCCCAGGCTCTGTGAATCTGCCAATACACCAAAATGCTCTCCCCAAATTCTAAATGACATTCTGGAAACATAATGTTACTCACTGTCAGAGGTGATTCAATCCCTTGGATTTTCCCTCTATATTTTAAGTACTTATAAAAGAGATGATTTTGTCTTTAAAAAAAGTGGCTGGGTTTCTATTTATACTTATTCTTAACTTTTAAGCATCCTCCTTTAACTGGAGGTCAGAAGTCCTTCCAGAAGCCTTTCCTCGTGAACCCTTGAGCCGGCCTGTCTTGCGGGGGGCAGGATTTTGAAGCCAGTTTGCCTTCTTGGAACTCCTGTACTCTCCACTTCCTCCTCCTTTCACTTCACGCATCAGAAGAGGACACGAGAAACCTCAAGGAGGAAGGGATTTCAGAGACCGCCTGGTCCAGGGCTTTTCAAATGGTGGGTTGCTAAGAGTTGTGAAATCAGTTGAGGACCAAAAAGCTGGTTCAGGTAGACCAGCTTTTTGATGGGAGTAGACCAGAGATGAGGAAAATATCAGAATGCATGTTAGGCAGAAAGAGAAGAGCTGTTTCATGAAATGTGTGTGCCGGCTACGTGCATGCGTATCTACCTGTATGTGGAGATGGGGTGTGGATACCTGCGTGTTCTGGGTGGCCATGTAAAACGTGTTAGTGTGGGTCATAGTCAAATAAATTTCAAACGGAACCTCAAAGATGCTAAGTAACGCCCAAAGTCAGGAAGGTGGTTAGTGATAGCAAGCTTAGCGATAGAGACTCGTGTCTCCTGATTCCCGCTCTCCCCTCAAAATCCTGACTGAACGTATGACCTCTACTTGCATGATCAGCTTTTCTCCCATCAGAAATTTTTCCATTTTCCCTTCTTCAGCAAGAGCCAGGTATAACTTCCTTTGTATACAGCAATCTTATTTCTTTTTAGCAGCCTGTTGCTATTAACAATGGCTTGAGCTATAGACTAGAAAAGCCTGAAAGACTGTGAAAACAAAACTGCATTTCTTTAAGAGCCCATATTCCTGACACAGAACAGCAGAATTTTAATTAGCCTTTAGGAGCAGAGGTTAAATGAATCTCATGCAGAGGTTAAATGGGTCTCATGCATACGGGAGCCATATTATCCATGGAGGAGAATACCCCTTTCTTTTCAAAGAATAGCCATACAACCACTGGGCTGCAATTGCGATTGCCTGAGGCCACCAACATGGACAGCAGGCTGGAAGCAGCAGAGGTTCTCATAAAAAACCTGTTCCATGAACATTCTTCATAAGCCTTCCATCAGCTGAAGGGTGAAGCCAGCCCTGACTTACAACGTTGTGGGCATTTGGAGGGCCAGCTGCACCACTCTGGACAGCCCCTTAGAGACAGTGCTCCTCAGAACAGGGTTTTGTGCTTTAAATGTCACTGGTCTTCCTGAGAAAAGGTCTGCGGGTTACGTCTCCACATCACTTGTCACTCGGTCCTTTCCACTGCCTCCTCAGTAGCTGAGCCCTCAAGGCCATGTGACAATTTAACCTCTCTACCCCTTCCCACTTGTGAAATGGAGATACTGTTTTGCAGGGTGGTTGATAAGAGAAATGAGTTCTATCATCCTACATGAAGCTATCTAGAACACCTAAATGACTGTGATACTGTAATATAATAACAAGCATGTATTTTGGCCTTTGTCCTTAGCCCCTGGCCAGAGCTCCTAAAATCTTTGTAATTTCCTAAGCGATAAGGGTGCTAGAAGCATCTTTTGTTCTAATTTGGTTGTCGACTCTGGCTCCTGTCGCAGAGCTCCTAAATCTCTTGGAATTTCCTGGGTGATAGGAGTGTCTTTTGTTCGAATGCAGCAACTCTTGGTGGGCTCCAGAATAGCTTCAGGATGGGGGCTGGTTGCCAGAAAGACCAAGCCATGATTAGAAGCTTGGAACTTTCAGCCCCACTCCCCAGCCTCTGGGAGAGGGCCCAGAGATGGAGTTAAATAATCGATCATACCTATGTGATGAAGCCACCATAAAAATCTGTAAACTACAGCGTTCAGAGAACTTCGAGACTGGTGAACATATCCATGTGCCCAGAGGGTGACGCAGCCCATCTCCACAGAGACAGAAGCTCCTGCGCTCAGGACCCTTCCAGACCTTGCTCTACGTATCTCTTCATCTGCTTGTTCGTCTGTGTCATCTATCATATCCTTTAATATATAATAAACCAGTAAAGCTACGTGTTTCCCTGAGTTCTGTGAGCCATTCTAGCAAATTATCAAACCTGAGAAGGGGGTTGTGAGAACCCCAAATCTGTAACCGAGTCACAGAAGTGTGGGTAACCTGGGGACCCAGTACTTGCAACTGGCATCTGAAATGGGGGTAGTCTTGTGGGGCTGAGTCCTTAACTTGTGGGATCTGATGCTAACTCCATGTAGTTAGGATACGAACTGCATTATGTTGTAAGACACCCAGCTGGTGTCAGAGAATTGGGTCAGTGTGGGAAAACCGTTTGATGGCCAGAAGTGTTGGTACAAGCAGTAGTAGTAAAAGGAAACAGCAGAAGAAAACAGCATTGGAGAGTGTTTTGTCACCCTAGTAATCAATAAAACAACCCAGAATTAGGGGTCCTGCTGATGGGAAGTAAATGCCACCAGGATTCCTGGGGATCTAGCAGGAGCCCTTTCAGACGCTCATGTAGGTCTGGCTCCCAGCCCCACTCACCACAATGGCAGCTTTCCCATTCATCCTCCCAGTCAAAGGAGGTTTCCACCATGCAGAGAACAGAGCTGCTGCAGGCTAGGGTCGAAGGGAGATCTAGAGGAAACACTACCCATGATCTGAAGCTTAAAAATAACTTGCTGCTTTGTATGCAAGGCAGAAAAGAACCTAATTCACAGGAGCTCCCTTCCCTCAGAGCTTGAGCGGCAATTTCCTTGGAAAGTACTTGGTGTATACAGTGTCTGTGCCATTGTTAGCCAGGAATTCTCACTCACATCTGGGTGTCAAGTCACTCTTGGGGCACTAACATCCTTTAAAAGCATCCCAGATCCTTATAAAGCTCCTTCACATGTCTTGGCCATTTGAGCCATTCATTCTGCCCTGTGTGTGCAGGGAACCATTATGAGTGGGTGTGGGGAGGGCTGGTACAAAGCCAGACTCCTGTCCTCCAACAGTGCATATTCCGTGGGGACCCCAAAGCCCAGAACTGCAACTGCTGTTGGTAAAGCACTAGAAAAAAGATAGAACCTGTGAGCCTTGAGTGTGGCTGCTCCAAGAAGGAGCAGCCATCTTTGACGGATACTACTTTCAAAAAGTAAAGGAGGTGGGTGTGCCCCTAATTTAAAAATGGGGGCTTGGAGAGGTGAAGCACTTTGTCTGAGTGCCCTCTCACACTGCAGTTTCTGACCAGTGCTAGTGGGAGAGCAGGGGGAAGAGTGTGGACCCAGAAGGCAAAGGTCACTGAGGACGGAGCCACTCTCAGGAATCTCTCTTCCTTTAAAGGCAAGTACGCTAGTGGGCAGCCCCACCAGTCCCGCGTACTTTAGTGTGAATTATTTCACTTAGACACCTGGTTAATTTTTCTCCTGAAAAGTAGCTAAGAGCCTGAGAGGGAATGTGGAGATATGAGCCAGGGTATGGGGAAGAAAGGATCATTTGGAAATATGGGGGAATCTGGAGAGAAAGTAGGACTGAAAAGAGTAGGGGGTCAAGAGAAGATAGTCAGAGGGTCCCGTTCATTCATTACCTCAGAAAATATTTACTGAGCATCTACCATGTACCAGGCAGAACCCTGAATACCAAGGGCAGAGAAAGCGGGATAGAAATATCACTGCCCTAAGGGTCTTGGTGCTAGAGTCTTTAGAACCAAAGGAAAGAAGGCTATTACCTAGACTGAAATTTTATAACAAAACAAAGAAAGCAAAAATAAAAAATTTTCTCTTTGGCATAGTCTAGTCTTTCCTGACACCAAGACGAAGTAGAAAATACCAACATGGTATTTTGAAAGCCCAGCAACATGACAGCAGGGTTTCATCACTCAGAAGCTCACCTGAGGAGTTAAGGGGAGCCCACCTTCACCTCGCAGAGGTGTGCTGGGGCAGCTTTACTGGCTCACCGAAGCCAGCTGTTACGTTTGTAGGAATTTTGTGAGCTGTTTGCTAAAGGCAGCCAGTATTAAAAATTAACTAAATTTAAAATTAATAAATTATAAAAACAAGGGTATTCAATATTCAGCATGTATCACTAACTATATTTTACCATCATCTATGCTCTTGATGGATATTTCTGGTTATTGATACTATTGTGTTGGTAGGGTAGAAGCACTGTCCAATAGCTTGCTACTGTGCATAGCTTCCTGACTCTTGAGATTTACATTGCAGAAATTGGCCAACATCACAGGCTGGAGAGACAGCTGTTAAACATTTAAGAACACACCTCTGTGCAAGACCATCCCAGAGAGGCCGTGGAGAGGGATTACCTTGGCAGAGAACTTGAGGTGAACTTCTGCCTCATCTGCAAGGCTCTTCTTCACCTGCGCCCATGCTTCTCCCAGGGAGCTACAACACGAAAGGAGACTGTCAGACCCAGAGAGAGCAGCAGCGACCTCATGTCTGAGACCACAGCCCTTCCTGAGGCATAATGGTGGGTCGTGACCCCGAATCTTGAGAAAGCACATAACACCCAAGACTGTGAGCTTGGATGAGGCAGAGGCCAACCAGAAAACAAACTAGGGCACTGCGTTTCAACTCATGGGGCCAGATGAGCCATTCCAAACAAAGCTGAAGATCTCTGGAGCTGAGAGAACAGATTGTGGCAGAGAGTTGAGTGGTTGGGGAAATATTCAGAAACCCAGAAGACTGGGGTGATGCGAGGAAGGTGGGGTGCAGCAGCAGCAAGGGCCTTGATAACTGGCCAACTGCTCTCCTCATGTCTTGCCATCTCCCCTCCCTGGTTTGTTGACAAAGGGTGCAAACACCTGCTGGTAAATCATGGAAGGAGGACAGATGACTTCTCAGGGAACAGCCTTTTCTCAAATGGAAAGTACCACATAGCCCTGCTTGCAGGCAAATCTCTAACAGCCTGACTTCCAGGAGGGGTAAATGAGGACCATCTGGGTGTAGGGACCTCCTAGGGATGGCTACACAGCAGAAAAAGTTCTCCATCATCATAAGTGTGGCCCTCTGCTGGTACTGGTTCTGCATTATGAGCCCTAGTGTTACACACGGCTTACTAGAGAATGACAGAGTCTTCTAAGGCAGTGGTCCCCAACTTTTTGGCACCAGGAACTGGTGCTCCTATGAGAATCTAATGCCTGATGATCTAAGGTGGAGCTGAGGTGGTGATGCTAGGGTTGGGGAGCGGCTGCAAATATAGACGAAGCTTCGCTTGCTTGCCCGCTGCTCACCTCCTGCTCTGTGGGCCCGGGGTGGGGAGTTAGGGACCCTTGCTCTAAGGTAAATCACTTTCCACTCTAAGATGCTTCAAGTAGAAGCTATCTCCTAAAGTCTCCAAGACTTTGGAATGTAGGCCCCCAGGCTACATTCTTATTATCTGCAATTCTTTAACCTCACCTACCTTTCAAATGATCCCCCTGATACCTTGCTCAAGACCTCTCCACCCAGCTAGGAAACCCAGGCTGAATGTTCAGTTGACTTCATTTCGTCAAAAAGCCACTTCCTCCAGAGACTTCATTAAATACAAGTGGCAAAAGCTGATTAAAAGATAGCATGCTATGAGGGTTCTGAGTTTCAAGCAGAGAAGCCAACAGCTGAGAATTACCCAGCAGAACTGATTCCTTTGATCACAGCTGGGGCAGCTCTGGACAGTCTGGCTCCCCATCTGATCCAGCAGATGGGTGGGAGGTCCAGGGCAGGGGAAGGACAGGGTGGAAGCAGATGTGGTCATCAGACAGATATGGGAACAGAATACCAGATCCAGAAACAGACTCACAGATGCAGGTGACTGCTGTGCAACAAGATGCCAAATTATCTCAATGGAGAATGGGCAGTCTTTCTAACAAATGGTGCAGCTATGACTGTATGTCCATAGAGGAAAAGAAGAAATCCTGACCCTGACCTCATGCCATACACACAGATTATCTCGAGATGGATCACAGACCTAAAGTGAAAATCAGCACTACACACAGCTTACAGAAGCAGTCTCAGCGGGAGTGGGAACTTGATTAAAGGGTGATGGGGAGGGGTTCGTCCCTGCAACTGAGCTACATATGAGCCTCCAGAAGGTGAAATAAGAGCCCGCAAGCCGCAAAGGTCCCGATAGTACCGAGAATGTGCGAGTCTACAACCAGTGGAGCATGTGGTGGCCTGAGAATGTCATCTGAGGGCTACTGGGAGGATAGGAGGAAGCTGTTTCACACTGGAGGCCCCACCTCCAGCCTGGGCATTTAGAGTGAGAGGACATCATTCAAATGGCCTGTCTAAGCTAATACATCCCCCATGCACACCCCCACTCCAATATTCCAGGCCCCTTCGAAGCACTTCACAATTTAGAAAAAAGCAATTTAGAAATTCTCTCATTTGAAGAGATACTTTTCATCTGATAAGAAGTTAATGGAAAAAATAAAATCTGAGATATAGTTCTGTTCCAATATATGGTCCGAGGCATGCCAAAGCAAAATGCACGTTACTGTCACAATTACCAACCAGAAAAGACCAAAATCCCATTTCCTTTCCACAGAGGAGAGAAAAACTGAAGGCAGAAAATAAATAACGTTATTCTGTTTATACGTGCCAATGTGCACGTATCCTATGGAATCAATTTGAATACAGCACCTGAGTTGCAAAAGCAGCTCAAGTGTCCCTATCGGCACCTTCCAAGGTTGCCCTGAATTTCTAGGCTCCAGCACTGAGCTTTGAAAGTTTCAAGCCAAACTGGGCCAATGTCCAAAGCTGTGTATAAATGCAAAACAGTGTTGTGACGCATTGTAAGTAGGGGGCCATGTGTTCACGCCCCACATCCCAACAGTGCCTGCCAGAAGGAGCGTGTGCCTGGGGTTAGCGTGTGTGTGCAGTGGCGATGGGGCACATGTTCATGCCACGTTGGAGGTAAGTAGCATCCATGCACAAACGTGAGCGTGTGCAGGGTTGCCCTATGTTTGTAGGTGCATGTGTGTACAGCGCGGTGGTGCGAGCCTGACTTGTTCAGTTGGGAGCATATGCTGTGCATGTTGGCAGGACGGAGTGTCCTTGGCAGCAGCCCAGGCTGAGGAGCTGGAAGCGGGAAGACGCTGGGGCAGCACTGCAGTCACAAGGCATGGAAATATGTAAAAAAGCCCCCTGCTCAGGGAGGAAGGGCAACTCCCCCTTGAGCCCCTTTTCTGCCCTCCTCGCAGGCCCAGCACATAAAACAGAAGGGGGCCAGAGGTAACCTCATTTATCTCCGTAGAAGAGACACTGGCCCTGATGGGTCGCCCTGAGGCCTTTGGCTGGCGGTCAGTAGAAACCATTCGGAGGCGGCATGTTGGCTGCGCAGTGAGCCCATGCAGAGGCCTTAATCAAAGCCACATTTGGTTGGCAAAGCCCCGTCCCCTGGGGGATTTCAAGCCATGCAGGCAGATCTGGACTTGTGTAACATCACAGCTCTCTGACAATCACAGAAGGTCTTCCTTCCTCTGGAGCTCACTGCCCTTACAGGAGGGGTTCAGACTCTGCACTGGAGGTTGGACTAGACTGAGGACCCTGGGGACCTTTGAGCTCTAACTTCCTGAGCCTTTGTTTTTATTTTTGAGGTGAAATTCACACAACATAAAATCAATCATTTTAACAAGAACAATCCAATGGCATTTAGTACATTCGCTATGTTGTGCAACCACCACTTCTACTTCCAAACCATTTTTATCCCCTATTATGGAGTGAATGTTTGTGTCCCCGCAAATTCCTATGTTGAAGCCCTAACCCCTCAGTGTGACTGCTGTCTGGACATGGGCCCTCTATTATGTTAATTAAGGTTAAATGAGGTCATAAAGGTAGGGCCCTGATCTGATAGGATTCTGTGTCCTCCTTCTGAGAGACACTGGAGACCTTGCTCTCTCTCTTCATCAAAGAAAGATTGTAGTGAGAAGGCACAGCCTGCAACGCAAGGGGATGGCTCTCACCAGAAACCAACCCTGCTGGCCCCTCGATCTTGGACTACCAGCCCCTAGAATTGTTATTAAGATTCTGTTGTTTAAGCCACACAGTGACTCTATGATATTGTTACAGTGAATACACACCCCCACCAAAATAAACCTCATACCCATTAAGCAGTTACTCTCCCGTCCCCTAAAAACCCCCAACTCCAGGCAACCACCAATCTTCATTCTGTCTCTACGGATCTGTCTATTCTGGATGTTTCACATAAATGGAATTATACAATATACAACCTTTGTGTCTTGCTTCTTTTACTTCATCCACATCGTAGCATGGATCAGTACTTCATTCCTTTTTATAGCTAAATAATATTCCATCATATATCCATATATCCAACGTGGATAAACTACAATTGTTTATCCATTCATCCCTTCATGGATTTGGGTGGTTTCTACCTTCTGGCTATTGGGAATTGGGCTGCTAGGGGCATTCACGAGCATGTATTTGAGTGTCTGCTTTTAATTCTTTTGAGCAAAAACCTAGGAGTGGAATTTCTGGGTCATAAATATTTAGTTTTTTGAGGCACTGTCAAACTGTTTTCTACAGTGGCTGCATTTTGTGTTCCCACCAGCATGTTGAAACTCTTAATTAACAAGATAGAGCAGAGAAGGCTATGGTCTTCCTTCTACTAGGGATCCTTCTGTGGCTAGGAGGGTGGGGCTGAGCTTTCTCCAGCCCAGGTTCCACACAAGGCTAGCCAGGGAAGGGAGCCTGGGCCTCAGGCCCATAGGAGGGAATTCTAAACAAGAGGCCAGGTGAAGAATCCTTTCACATCGAAGTTCCTACCAGCCTGCCCTCAGAGAAAGGGTATCTGGGGTGGCCTTCTGGGAGCTCGTGCCCAGCTACTAGGGAACAGGGCAGAGGGGACCCTAACATATTCCAGCACATGGCAGGAGGCCCTTGACCCTGGGAGGGAAGACAAAGTAAGTGCCAACCTTGAGCACACATGCCCACACCTGAAATCATGGGTGCCAAGCTTGAGCCATGAATGCCCACCTTGAGGATGGGACCCCACCTTGAGCTAGCCTGTGGAAACTTCCTCATCCAATCAGCGATCAGTGAAAAAGGGTCTCCCTTCTTGAGTGTCCCCTCTCCCTCTCCACTCCCATCACTGTCCTCCCCACTCACCCTTCTTCCTGTGCGGCCAAGGAGTTCTGAGACAGCTTAGCTAAGTTTTTCGCATATTCTTCTTCAATCTTTATCCTGCAAAGGGAAAAAAAAAATCAACATGGCAGCTCTCCATATTAGACTGTGGGTCCAACCTGCAGCCTTGCTGCTTATTAACCATATTAAGGAACGCACTAGACCATAAGCTCTGAGAGTACATGGCTGTTTTTCTGTCTGCCTGATACACAGTAGGAGCTCAATAAATATTTGCTGAATGAATGAACAAAATGGTCTGAACCTCCATCTCCTCATCTGCAAAATGGGATAGTCCTATCTGTCTCCCTAGGCTGTGAAAGTGAAGCGCTGTCACTTGCACCACTCTGAACACGGGGCTGGACACATGGCAGGCGCAGTGCTTGAATAAATGAATGTAATCAGCATGGACGACAG